TCAAGCTTGAAGGTTATCCAGGCACTGTCGTGAGGGAGCTGTGTGTCCGAAAACTTCCGTCTTGTAATGTATCGTCAATACGGGCCGTGATTGAGGAATATTCCGAACTGTTTACGGGCGATGAGGATCCATTTGGCTTCTGCCCGTGGATTGAACACGAAATTCTACAAACAACACATACTACTCGCGTGCCTCCCGATCAGTAGTATCACCGTTACAATAACAACATAAATTCAATGAACACAACAGAGTAGAATATCATTTTCTTTTCATGCTATCCACAAAAATAAGGGAGGAGCTCATTTCTCATCTTGGGTGTAAAATTAGATCATGGTTTCATAAACTTATTCACCTGTATGGTGAACTTCTGTCGAAAAAAATTCCATCTGTTCTGTGTATTCAACAATGTAAATTTCTTCCTACTTTTCCGCACAACTGGCCAAAAAACTAGCTGAATTTTCTATCACGCTTATTTTCTGATCTTGAGATATATCTTGGTTTGTTGTTGTGACGAATGTGCTTGAAATTCTCCTGGTATGTTGATGTGCTCCAAGCGCATTTTTGAATACCCAAGATGCTTTTTTACATGAATGAACTGTGTGAGTACGATGCTGTGCAGGCCACAGTGAATTAAGGTTTATATTACCATGAATAAATTTCGCCAAGAGCTAGTTCTACTGCTATCCGAATTACTCGCCACCCTTCCCGATGGAACGAAGTTTGTTGGGATACCTATTTTATTGTGGACGTTTCAGATTCATCTGTCCTTCGACAATGAGGGTGATTCACATGAAACACCTCGGTTAATTATGACACACCGGTGTGTTGAAAACTACCATAGATGTTGAATCTGTGCTGGCTCTGGGTTGAATAAGTTTGAATCACTGGACATCGGCCGCGCTCAACAAAGGGTAAGTGACGCTGCCTCCAAGGAGCTTCTTGGTCTGAAGTCTCAACTTTCGAAACTTTACTTCTTCATCCACTTATAAGACGTCACCAGTTGATGGGGATTATTGAAGTGCTAGGGCTTCAATCAATCCGATTGTTTACCACCTGTGTAGTCTTTCAAGGTTATTCAGGTACTCCAGGGAAGACTATGGAGTGCGAAGTCAGCCGCTTTGGATGCCGTATACGTTAAATCCAATCCGCTGAACTCCACAATGCTGTAATCGAAAGAATTTATATCGTATGTAACGGCGCGTTGAATTTCCACAGTGCGCACTTTGCTAGATTCTAAACGAATCACATATAAAGAGAATAATGAGCAAATATAATTAATCTTTTACCTGATGTGTTTCTGCTGAATTCGACCATCAAGTGCAACTGGGACTAGGACGGTGTTTTTTTTAATTCGAGGGTAAATCGTCGCAAATCCTTTTGTTGCTCTTATTATTTTAAAAATAGTTTGGTGGCGGTAACAACATAAAATATGGTCAATTTTCCCCCTGGAAATAACGCCAAAACCCCTTTTTCAGGGACAGTCTCAATGTGTATTTCTGTCTGTATGTTTGGTTGCTTTAAACATTGAAAACTGATGAGAGAATGTGAGGAAACATTCAATGTAAAATTAAGAAACGGTAGCCAATTTTAGCTGCATTAGTAGTGTAGCAAATAACTTGTTTTCCTTATCAATGCGCTTTAACCTGCTGAAGTCTATCGCAATAATCGCAGGTCGTAGTAATCATTCACTCATCTACCACACGTACAGTGTATCAGTTGGACGACCCTGCCCCGGCAACCAGATTCATCTAACCTGCCAGCTGCAGATTACGTAATACCACAATTAAGGTATACTGGAAACCTGTTAATTGTGCGTCGAAAAGCTGAGAGGCGCTATAGAGCAGTTCCGTTCTGTTCGGAATCATCAGTAATGCACAACACATCAACCTCTGAAGAGTTTCAGAATGATAACCTACTTGCTAGTAATTGAAGAAATAAACGTTTGTTTTTTTCAAATCTCCCCATGATATCAGAAGAACAATTCACAATTCTTTGCACTATTGAGTCATAACCCAAACAGGCAATCAATTCATGACCATGTGATTTGAATCCCGTGAATGACAGATGGGTGGTACCTTGTCCTAAGTGCAATTTAATCAAGCCATCAATCTGCGCTTCGCGGCCAGATTGATTAGTGTTCAACTAGTAGTCATTAGATTGCTAGTTGTATACCTATGGAAGTTGACTCCAAAAACGGACAGAATATCTTCAGATTGCTTCTTGACTTTTCGACACAAGAAACTCACCCAATGGACAAACGCTCAGTTGAGTGTCTCCACTGTTCTCCGTGATATAAATAGTTCTCTGAATTACAGCAGGTTTAAAAAGTCGTCATTAAAGGTCATAAAATGAGGCATTGAAACAAGAGGGATTTGCCAAGATACAAATAATAACCCAACTAAGTTCAGTTGAAGCAAATAATTGGCAGGAAAGGGGCTAGCCAAGTTAGAATTCAGTTATTGCCTCTCTAATTTACTGGTGACTAGATCAGCCATCAATGAACAAGTAGAAAACATGTGATACTGAATTTTTTATTTCAATATTTTGGCTATTGGATTTGAGCACCAAAAGTCATACGCTTCCATATCAACTGTTTGGAAGTCACAGTTTAGATAATTTTGTCTCGCAGTTCGCGTATCCTTTACTTTCATACAGATGGACGTGAAGTCTAGCACAAATATTTAACCCTTTGATCATGCTTAGCTTTTGCAGCATTTAAAGTTGTAGTTGAAATAGAATGGTTTCAATAAAATTCTCTTGTGTCATTTCAAATGTACGTTACACGTTGAAAGACCTGCTTGTATAACTCATTTAACTCTTCCTCATTAAGTTACGCACCCCAAGGTCATTTTGGAAGCCCTCTTTCATTTCATTGGTAGGATGCAACTTACAATACTGATCTCCGACGGACAACCTGCGCATCAGATATAAGCTTTCAAATCACCTAGAGTAGCTTTCGTAGGGAACAATGAGCACGCCTAATATTGTTTTTTTAGTGTTGCTGGGTAAATAGGATCCAAAACGTTTGTATACCTGAACGCGTGTTTGCATGTGTTAAAAGTTTATGGATGGATGCTTTGTTTTCAATACAGGTATAATCAATTTTCATGGAGTTTTAACGGCGGTGTACGACGTTTGTCATCGTGAGTGATTTTCTTCTCCTACTCTTTACCGTAGTCAATTACTTATTCCACAGTTAACTTCGTAAAAGCCGTGAACTCTACAAATATATGCTAAAATCTGCTACTTACTTTTTATAAACACATTGTATCCCATGTCCCAACGTATTTTGTGGTTTTGAGTCACTCAGATTGTTCAACATTAAAATTAGGCCCTTGTTATCTTTAGCACAGAAAGCCTTCCTTTCCAGCTTACCTGAGTGCTTGAAAAAAGCTTCGTATTGACAGTTCAACTTATCCGATTGGGCGGACGCTTTAAAACCATATATGTGACGTTTAGCCGCTCGAAATATTCTTATGAATACCAATATAATCTTTCCAAATAATTCATCCGGTAAACACATCACCTCAACAGGGATACTTGAGGTTAGAATATATAAATGCCTAAATCCAGGAACCAACTTAAGATAATTTCCTACCCCTTAGAAAGTAATCTAGCAAACTTTTTTATTATCAGTGTGACTAGCGGTATGTCAGATTTCTGGTATTGAAAAGATTGCAGGCTTCTAGGGATAACGTTTTTTGAGACAGCGAGTTGCTTCCAGTTGTTGGCTCCTCAAGTTTTATCAAAAGTTATTTTAAACAAGGCCAATGTGTTCCAAGCTTCTTGTTGTTTTGTAAGTTTTGCTAAGTAGCAATTTTATTTTACATATTCATTTATTAAACAGCTTCGAAAACAGCTTCTCTTTTGTCTTCATTCTCTCTAGTCAGCTGTAATGAAATGATTGACTACTCAGACATTTCCGGTAAGTGCGAATATGAGTACTCAAATGACAATTTCAGGCCCATTTTTAGATTGCGTTTGTAAGCCAGTAAACCTGTGATCCAACATTTGCCCCTAAAAGGTTTCTAAGCAGACTGGGAATCACTGACAAAATGGTGACCATTTAAATGGTTTATTAGGTTTTCTTCTTGCTATCCTGAGTGTGAATTGACCTAAACGTTTGAGTAAGAGCAATGAGAGGTCCAGTTGGAATACAAATTGTAACGCACACAATTAAACAAAACCAACTCTTTCTAAAGGTCGTAGTGTGTTCCAGAAACAACGCTTTTCAATTCGCTGGAGACGGTTAGAATAGAGACGAATTGATGTATTCCAATGGATTGTCGTTTAATTACGAGAAAACCCGGTTTTGCAAACAAACTAATTGTCATCCTGCTGTTTTGCACCCAAAAGGGGAAAAAGTAAATAAATTTGAGTTGAGCTAAAAGTGATGGAACTATTTCGAACGAATTTGGGAGTGCCATTTACTTTGATTATCCTGGCACAAGCTTTTGATATATTTACTGCGTAAAAGTGTTACTATCAGTGGCTACTTACTGAGTTGAGCAAAATAAACATTATAACCTAGGCTGCAACCAAACACTGAAAAGCTGTTTAAATACTCACGTCATTTATTCAACACAGAAAACGAGATAATCTGTAAGTTTGAGTCAGTGCCGTTTTTAAATCGAATGACTTGTTGCACGACCTAACAAGTTACCTATCTATTTTTGCTTGCTACGTTTACAAGAATTGAAAAACAGCTGAACGTATTTCAACTTAGGAAACCTTTCTAAAGATATCTCAATTTCAAGAGTTCGTCCGATTTAGCGCTACCGACTTTACTCACTCTTTTGCAAGGAATTATCACACATAATTTTGCTTTTCTAGCCAGCCCTTCGGAAGTACCAGGTACGCCAACATTCCGTCCAAGTGATTTAAAATGTCTGTGTGGATATGATATTTAAGTAATTATTGTCTAAAGATTAACTTACTGCATGCCTTCTAAAAGTATCATTTATGATTATTTTATTATTAAAATCAAATAGCTTTTACAGTCTTTAATATTTTGCTCAAGATGTACACAGCTTTAGCTGCCTAAAATTATTACCAGTCCATCGTTTCAGAGCCGATGAGGACTGCTATTTATATCTGCAAAAGTGAGTTAATTCGAACGGAACAATAAAGTATATTACCATGTTGACCAAAGAGATATATCTATTATTTTCCATTGGACAATGCATTTTTTTAACCGAATCGCTCACGTGGAAACAGGGCTTCCCAAAATGAATATCTCTGCAACAAATCTAGTAGCACTCGTTTCTCAAACAGCAATAATTTTTATTGGTTGTAATCTTTCTGGAAAATCAATCGTAATTTCATTAACTGGACTCAATAAACACATTCTTTTGGACTGCCTTTTTCACTCAAGTTAGACTCAAAATAAAATGACAACCATGGTGGTTAGTACTTTTTTGAAGCTCATCATGTTGAGTTTCTAACACTAAATAAAACCTTGATTATTTTGGCAATCTAGGCTCATGCACATATGAAGAATATTTGAGATGCACGGGTAAGTAAGATCGTTCTTGCTTGAATAAGTTAGACATATAATCAACAAGACCAGAAGAAAGCACGTTGCTGACGCATTCCCCAATGTAAACTGGTTCCAATAGTTTATTAGAAGCGACAAGTAATCTAAAACTGGTCACGTGTTTAGTATCATTGCGGGCCAGTCCCGTATTGTCAAACTGAGAAAAACTACTGTAATAAAAGAAATCGTTTTACAGAATAATAAAATTAACCAATTCAAACATGAAATTCATGTTGTTGCAAATTTAGCTTAGGGTATATTTTTCACTCCCTTAAACATTTACACCCGAAAGCGATCTTGGCCCAGGCTATTGATATCAGCATAGCGTGGGCTGCTGCGACGATCGCGAAAAGGATGTGACACATCTTCATCTGTCTTTGAGTAATTATTTTGATGCATACGCATCCAAAAACAGAAAGCAATAAACTGAAGTTTTGCCCCTAGTGGAGCTCATCAGCAATTCCTATCCTGGGACACGTCGGGATTTGAACCCAGGTTGTCCGACATGTGAGGCAAGCCTAATTATAATATTCAAACAGTCCAAGCTTGATGCACGCGAACTATCATGCTTGAGCAACTGAACGTGTTCACGTTTAGGCAGTTTAACTGTTTGCATGACAACTCAAACCACGATCTAGTAACTGCAGTGATTGTGTCAATTGGCTAACTTGCTTGTGATACGTCCGGATTTAAAAGCTTCGAACAGCTATTCATTGCTAATACGCTCTAACAAAAGCAAAGCTGTGCTTCTTCTCTTTGTTGTGAAACCATAGGAATAATTGCTCCACAATAGAAGGAGATCTGTTCAATCGACGGTGACGTAAATGGAAATTTTCAGCTAGTGCGGGGAATTTCTGAAGTTGAAATGCACCAGGAAATGTATTATGCAAAGTAGGACAATATTCGAACTCCGCAAGGTCTGTGAGCCCACTTTGATGTATAATCTCTAGATAAATTATCCTAAGAGAGCAGAAGGTAATTTTAAGCCGGAGTTTTGCAAATCTGAGTTCTACAAATTCCACAACCATTTACAGCTGACTTCTAGTTACTACGGTTATTACGTAAGTAACCAGAAACCGCAATACTCCCAAGCATTACATGCAGAAAGCGATCCTTCGTATAATACCGGCCTCGAAAAAAGTGGGAAAAAACGAAACACATGTCAAGCACCAAAAGCATTTTCCTTTAGTTCGTCTTGCTAACCTGCTTTTTTACATAAAACTTTAGGCAGGCTTACGAACATACCCAAAAGACGCATTCATGCACCAACAAATTCAATATCTATGGGATACTCGATATCACCAATTGCACAGCGGATGTTTTATCGCACCTCGGTGTTTCGTCATAGTAACACTTGATGCCACTGCATTCGAGGAGCAAAGTGAAGAATACCGCGCTCCATGAGAAAAGAAAATAAATAGATTTTGGCCATCTGCATTGATAATTTAACCTTTGATAACTGTCTTCTGACAACTATCAACCTCAGTTGTGCACAAAACAAGAAAAGTTTGGCTGGTGTACTCTCCAAATGATATCTTGAAATCGTAGCAGCCAAATAAACTATAAATTACATACTTTCTCCTTTTCTAAATTCTTTTCCGTGAGCAATAGCAACGACTTCGTGCCATCATACTACAATAAAATTTATCTTGCCATTATTTTTATTTCGTTATCCGGAATTACCATTGAACCAAGCGATGGCATCTAGTCATTCCAATACTCTGTTGACAGAATCGTGTCAAAAAGTATATGCATCCAACGGTAAGTACCTGTTGATTCGGCTATTTCAAAATAGTTTTACTTATATCTTGTGCAACTCTGCGTGAGCTGCACATTAACTAAACTTATTTACCCTCGGTGCTAGACACGAGAAAGAGAGCGTTTCATATATGCGGGCTAGCAAAAGTTAAGACTAGGTTTATTGGACGAAGCATCCGTCCAATGACCAATGCTAACGGCATGAATCACTGACCAACTTACCTGCTTCTTTATGTACTCGATTTTTTGGCTAGCCGCAGGTTTTCTGCCATGCCATAGGCTCTCAACAAAGACATCCGGTTTCATCATACTTTTCACCCATAAAGCATCAGTCCCCGAACCTCAAAGCGACTGACAATATTTTCACACGAATACTCAGTATGATGAAACGAGTTGTCTGTGTTCACCAGGTACAACAAAGCAGAACAGTCCTCGTTATTTGGCCAGTGACAATCCTTGAGTTGCAAATCAATCTGCAAAATAAAAATCCTCACAGAGTTCATAGTTCCGGTAGTTGTACCATTGAATACTGGGCAGTCAATGGGTAGTTTTTTGTGCAAAAATTTTCAAACCCCGATTGTGGCTTCAAATGCGACCGCGTTTGTAAGCAAGTTGCTCTACATTTGTGAAGACATTATTTCATCTTGAAGGTAGGTTATGAAGATTACGGAACTTACAAAACCATATGCATTTTTACATGTCTGATAGGACATTATTTTTCTCACCAGTGGACGTCACCACGCACAGTTGTCCACCATTCTGGTAGCTGTGCATTTCCATCTTCTTTCAAAAGACTGTTGCTCTCTTCAGTGCAATTGGTCTGATTTACTTTTTTTTAAAGTGAAAGCACTTCTTGCGCAAAACTGAGCTTCTTACACCTTTTTGGCCAAGAGTTCAATAACTCCAACTAGTACTTGAATAAGTTGCAGTGTATTTTTACATTGGAAAACAAAACCAACCAGTAAAACAACTTCCTTAACAATCATGGAATCTTTCATTTTGGTGGATCTAAAGAAAGAAAACTGAGGATGTGTTTACGTGAGTTTGATGTCTGGCCTAGTGTGTTCAATGAACTTTTTAGTCGATCTGACATTTTAAACAAGTAGTACATCATCCAGCATTTTATTCAATAAACATTGTTATGGTCTAACCGCTGTGACCTCTCCAGGTGGCCCTTACTGGAAGGGTTTTATGTATAGATTGTATTTCATCTTGTCATTTAAAAAAGCCATCATTTTGACGTCCAAAATTGACAAGGGTGGCTCCAGATAAGTTCTTAATGCATTATTCAGACAATTCAAAATACACAATTGTTTTCATTGTGATGAAGTATCGACAAGCACAAATAGAAGTCCCCAATCAGCTTTGGTGCGTTGCGTTTTTTGTTAGTAGTAAGAAGGCTCATGATAACAGATGGAACACAGGAGGACGATTCAACACAACAATACAAACTTTATGCTGCTCCCTTCAACCTTATTCAACCGGTTCCTTGATGTACTTTTGATGGATCCATTTTGAATGGATTTTCTAATTTCGAAGCGTATCCCAGATCGTGAATCAGCCATTCCGATGCAACACTTTCCAGGAGTTCACTGCTCATTAATTTGCGTCGCCAGCAATTTCAAGCACAATGGGACTCAAATTCGGGTTATTCTGTAAATTAGGTTATGTTACGGGCTTGCCTATAGCAACAGTGTTTATGGGCAAGTTCAAGTCAGAAGCTCCTTGTAAAATGTGACTGAGGGTTTCAATCGTTCGAGATCACCTCGTAAACCAGAGCCACGCAATTTCGGTTAATCAACACAAAGTAAAATGGACTAATCCCGTTTGGTAGGCCTCAGATTGCTGGCGAATCAGTGGACTTCATCATCTGAGCAGTATGCATCGCATCTTTAAGCGTGATTAGACAACCAGATTCTTGACTGGCTAAGTGAGTTAAGTGAAATCGTAACACCCGTGCGGAATAAGCACGTAGTGACAATGTGTTGTTTGTTCATACCTGCCAGTTTAACCTATAGCTATCGTAAATAAAGTAACCGTTACTGTCGAATCAACGGTAACAAGGTTAAATGTTGCATGTAAGGACACTGGGTTCCATTGTTCCTTTTTGAAAGCAAATTAATCGTACAGGACAAACTCTGAACTAAAAATTATGAAATCCTCTCACACAAATCCCCTCCCCCTTCTCCTCACACTACTACGAACGCTTTAGATGAATAGTTTCATAAGAAGGGTGAAACTTTTATCTGAGAGTTTGTCAGTCAGAGGGTCAATCAATGCATGACCACGTAACATGATTTCTGTTACTGACGGATGAGCAACACTATATGCCGCCTGAGAAAGAGATAATCACACTGGTGTTCACTCACTCGTGGAGTAATGGTTGAGTGCTAAACGACTGACCTGAAGGCCGCGGATTCGAAACTCTAAGTTCCATGCGATACGCACCGCTGACAATTTCCAACAAGAATGAAACAGCAGTTATAAGGTGCTTCTCGGCTCTTCAGCACAGATTGGCTTCACTTGCAGGACGAGTTGCCGTAAACACTGGTTTCTGACTTGATTTTGGACATTCCAAACACCCACCATATCTTTATTCAAGTATATCTGGAGGTTGCCTCCTTTGAATAAACCTAACCCCTACAAATGAGTTGCCATAAATTTACTCACGTCCATACTCAGTGTTAATGAATCGGTACCAGAAAGCACACAAACGATTAGTTGTGGTCCATAGACGAAGGTTGACCCTCGACCGTCTTCGTGAACATCCATACAAACAGAAACTCAACCGTTTCATGGATGTCACAAGTTTTCGAAATACTCTATTAGAACACGTGAGCGCTCATCAAGAAGAACGTATCGCCGAAAAGCATCATCATCATCAAAAACAGCAACACCATTGTTAACGCTGATGCTTCACTGCCGTACAACCATACGGTCCTTCTAGTTATATTGGGGTGCCCACACCTCTCAGAACTAAATTAGACAATCTGGAAAGAAACTGACAGCACGAACGCAACTGACATCGATTAGGCGCCATTTCTTGCAACGTTGCCAGCCAAGCCCAGACGGAGTCACAGAGACCCCATCCGGGAAGGTGTACAACATCAACAACACCCAAGCTCTTCGTAGTCTCTTTTACCCGTTTCTGCCAAGTCATGTGCTGCCCACTTCGCGGTTTGCGCCATTCTGAAGGAGGCACGGAAAATAACACTCGTCTCGATAGATGGTGTTATCGCCGAAAATACATTTTATCAAACTACATAATGTAAGGACTTTGTACATAGCTTGGGCGGAATCTATACAAAGACGGCCAAGTTGCGTTTTTCTAAGAAAACTAATCAGTTCGAACTATTTCGCTGGGTTGCTTTATAGATAGAATCCAGCAGAGACCGAATAAATATAGCAGAAATGTAGGCAAAATAATCACGTGCTGGGACATCTCGCCCCCAAGTTAAAGATTAACTAATAATTTTATTTCAATGTAATCTTTCCAGTCTTGTCTACTAAATTTAATTGCACGAATTCTCACAGATCAATGTTCATCCTACGCTGTGCTACGTTGCCAAGGTCGGTTTTATAGTCGATACACATGTTCCACCTCATTTGCGTAGCTTGTTGATTTCAGCTTCTACCTAATCATATGTTGATATATTCGAAAGGAACTCCGTCAAACACAGTAAAAAGCAATGCAGTCCAGTATGCCATTCAAGACCATACTCGAAACATATTTTGACCTTAGAGTAGATTAACTGCCTAGCTTCACTAGTATTCCTCTTTACAGTCCACCAGGGCTTTGCGTTCGTAATTCCTTCGTTTGTTTTATCGTGTTTGGACGATTTTCCCAAGAGATCCCAATAAGTAAGTGCTCAGGAGAAGAACAGAATCCACCCTGTAAAGGCAACTTTTATCTGATGGGTCAAATGTTCGACGGGCCAGTCAACACGCATCACCACATGATGTGGATTCAACGGCTGATGGATAAGCAGTACTATATCTCAATTACGTACCAATCACACAGCTTTTCAGCCGCGTGAGACCAACCAACGGCTGTGTTCAAACTACGAACTAAGAGGTTGTGGATTTGTAGCTCTCTGAAGTTTTGTGAGATACCCACTGCTGAGGATTCCCAATAAGGATGAAACAGCAAACCCTTGGCTTTTCAGCATAGACTGGCTTCACTCAGACTACGAAACGCCCCCATACACATGTAGTTCGTCGTCCTCAAATGTGGCTGGATCGTCCATCGTGATTTGACCATCGTACTTCAAATTCACTACACTAACATCCATCTTTTCCAATGACGTAGAAGCTGTTATACGGTTCAAATCCTCATTCAAAGTAAAAGTCAACCTCTCTTTAGAGATTGTAGTGGGTACTTTTTACCCAGTTGTGGAATACGCAGGCAATTCCTCCTTGAGAGCAATTTTTCAGCAACAAAAGGTTACTTTCATTGGAGTTTCCATGAATATTGTGAGATTCAAGATCAGCGACAGCCAGTTAAACAAACTTGATCGGCATTCGTTGATGAGGTAACTTTATTCCCCTAATTTTTGAAGCGTCACTGTAGTTTCACATGTAATTTTGTTACAGATGACTGTGAATTTGGCACAAAACTGTGTTCGGGTTCGTTAAAAAAAACATTTCTTTCATTACTATAAAACGTACAAACATCAATGAACTCCAATCTTCCATTTAATTTATGGTTCGGTGCACTACAAAACTGAGGGTATTTGCAATCTAACTGTGCTCCTGACCCCGAAGTTGGTATCCACATTTTTTGCCCGACTATTGACAAAATATTTCAAAGAATTTTTTATTCTCTTACCTCTAATTATGGTTTATAAAGCTGTAAAGGCGCATCGACCCAACTTAAGCAATGCGCTCTCAAAGAGAAATTATCCCGGGTTCAATAACAAGACTAGAAAGCTATTGGCGTGAACTAAATTACAAAGTGTTTTATCCAGCACTGGAACATGACCCTTTTATATGTTCCTCCGCATTTCACAGGTTTTGTCTATTTTTTGAGAGAAAATTGATAAGAATTTTTCGCGCTCTTTTTGCCGTAGGCGAATGCGAAAAGCTATATGGTAATCACCGTTTTGATGTTCACATACACATGGTATATTAATTACACAGAGTAATTACTAATGAGAGCGAGATAGCTCAATTTGGCAAACCGCATCTTTGCATTGATGATTGAATTGTGGATCAGTATTAATTTTTTGTCTGTCATGCTCCTCATAGACGTTAGATACGTCAAGATATACCCAACTCTGTGAATTTAATGTGACAAGTGTCGCCCAAGGGGCATACAGTATTGATTTATTATATGAATTCTGTCGTGAATTCTGATGTATTGCAAACTCGTGATTTTACAGACAAGGAGACATAAATGGCGATTCACAATACCGAAAAAATTCCATTTTATTCTGGTTCATTAAATGTTTGTTGGCTTGAAATACATTGTCTGTGAACATGGTTTGGATTAATCCGTCGAAGCCCATCGGCTTTGTGCTCCATTTATTCTCAAAATAAGAAATAGTGTCCATGGGATGGTTGACATTCTTACACGCAGTTACTTACTTACTTGAGCTCAGTGGGCTGGTAACGTTTCGTGTATCAAATCACACATGGATGGTTGCACTGATTAACTTTAGGCGACTGCTGTGACTCCAGGCATGTACGTTGAATAGTAGTCAATGGGTTTCGCTTCATCAAGGACAGCATGTAACGACCGAGCAGAAATAATTCGATAAGAGGTCTAACAATCGCACACAAAACAGAGCTGAATAAATCCTAATATGTTCGGCAGAAACAACTGTAAGCGATCGTTCAAAAAATTGCCTTTGTTCAAAGTTGTTATCCCTTGATTGACTTATTCAATCAGTCGCTTCTGCAAGCTTCCACGTAGCTTGTTTAAGATGAGTGAAGCATGAGGCTACAAATGTAGACCCACGGACTAATGTAAGAGTTGGCCTTGTTGGCTGGCACGATGCATAGTGAGA